GGGAGGGAGGAGGAGGAGGAGAAAAGCAAGAAAGGAAGAGAGGAAAAAAAGATGGAGATAAAGGATAAGTAGTACCAAATAATAGTAACATGGAATACAATACATGAGGCGAACAAAACCACATAACGCAATAAAAATCTAAGAATATGAAGGGATATGTATGATACTAAACTATCAGTGAGCAACTAAGAAACTACCTACTGACCTTCTACCCTAATATTCGACCTCCACCCCCTCCTATCAAGGGTCATGTCCTCGGTAAGTTGAAGCAACGTCATATTCTGCATAATCTCCATAATACCCATATTAATTGGTGTATAGTCTTAATGTATTTGGAAAATAATTTGGAATGAGTAATTAATTCTAAGGGCAAAGCAGAAAAAATAAATAATTTTGCTCTTGATATGCGAAAGTGGATAAGTAAAAGTGAAATCTATTTTTAGAATAGTGGATAAGTAAAAGTGAATGGAGGGAGTATATGCACTCCTTAAGTCGAAAGTTTGCTCGTCTATAAACTTTGCTTGTAAAATCTTAATAAAAAATGAATTGCCCAGAAGATGAAATATTTCACATTCACACAGAATCTGAGAAAGGACCGCACCACAAAAAGATTTAATATGGGCAACCTACATTAACATGAGCAACCTACACTAATATACGCTAATATTATCATTAGTGACTGATTCCATAACTCTAAAATGTTAATATAGTTGAATTAAAGTATGGTACTTATTTGAATCTTCCAAGAGTGAGCATGCCGGAACATTGAATAAGTAGTATGGTCGGCCATGAATAAACGACATTATAGCCGTTAGAATCGGCCCATAACCACTTTTTAAATCTTTTAAAGGCGACCTTCCACCCTTGACTACCGACCCCATGTGTAATTATATGGTTTTTATTCTAGTGACTAGTGACAAGTGTGATCATGTTGTTTATAATTTAATTTATTAATTGACTTTTGTGTCTGCCTTTCTAAAACGATTACTCACTAATACACTCCTTTAGGAAAATTGTTAAGTTTGTATTGAAAATCGGAAGTTAGAGTAACGGAAAAGTTGTCTTCATATAATTTATAGGTCACAAGTTCGAGCCGTAGAATCAGTCACTAATACTTGTATTAGGATAGATTGCCTCTATCACACCCCACGTCAGCGCCTTCCCTGAATCATGCACGAACGCGGAATGCTTCATGCATGGGGCTGCCGTTTTTTTTGGTTGTATTGAGAAACTTAATGTCCGGGCTAGCTTGCGTGTATCTCGACTAATTCCATAAATGAGTAATGTTTACCCGCAAAATGGTACAGTTGAATTTATAACGTGATTTATAGATACGTGAATTAATTTGATCAAAAAATATGAAGTAAATAAGAACAAACATAAGATTGTAAAATAAACTTAAAGGAAATATGAGTCACGCTATGAATTTAACTTTTTCGGTAGCAGAATCAAGAACAATATTAAGAACAAAGTAAAAGAACAATATTATAGAATGAGAGCTGATTATAACTTTTGTGTGCAGAATATTTCGTGTCGTACATTGGATACTAATTTTCCTATTTATAGCTATATTTAGGGAGACAAGATCCCCAAATCAAGCTGCTCTTGAATGAGAATGAAATCGTCATTGATGATTGCATAACGGTTAAATATAATTGCAGATATTCTTTGTAACGGCTGCTCATTGTATGCTATCTGATATCACACCTTCAAATCTTTGTTATCGATTTCTCTGTCTTCGAAATTCACCCAGCACAGGTTGCACGCTTGTATCCGGTACCAACTACTTGCTGACTCACATCTTACCTGTCTTGCATTCCATGTGTCACCTCCTCATATGTTCAACTGCCACTAACCAATTTTACCGTATATAAGTAACTCTATCCATCAAGGCTTGGATAGACGAGAAGAAGTAACCTAGTATTTCTGTCTCGACTAGAATTTGAACATGAGATCTCATAATTATCAACTCACTTCATTAATCACTAGGGCATATTTTTGAACGCGGGAAATTGTTAAGTTATCTATAATATACTATGAACTTGCTAAAGTAAAAAGAAAAGGCTAATCTCACCAATTACTATGAGAAACATCAGAAGAATGTTTCATGATATTATGACTATATTAACGCCCCTGCATAAAATCGTTAAGTTAAACGCGTCTAATCAATTATGACATTACCCTAATAAAAGTACCATTTTTATGTCTCAAGTAGCATTAAAAGAGGTTTTCAATTCTAACTTTAATCACGGTGGGACTATGCATCAACTATGCCAAGCTGAAAGTTAATACCTTTATTAAATGCGACTAATAAAGCACGAAACAACGATTTTAGCTTTAACACGATTCATTTGAATTTTATTTTCTTTATTTTGCTTTTAGATGTTAATTAAAAAATTAAATATCGTTGACGTCTCTTTTTTGTCATCTAAAATTTCTACATTTAAAATATTTACGCACAAATTAATTTTCTAATGCTCACTAGAAGGGATTTAAATTTGAGGTCTCAATATTTCTCTCTTGGGATGTGTTTGACGCAGATAATTTCGGTCAAATAATTAACTACACATAGTCATTTTATATAAATAATTAAAAATCAAAATACACGAGGTATAATAATTGACTGATTCCAGATTATAATAATCACAAAGTCAAAGGAAATGGTTGCCAAGTTTCTTAATTTAGTACTACGTATTTCTGAAATCATAACCAATAACATATAAATAAGGTAGTGACATTATTATAAAAAATCATTCTCTAACTATTTGTATTTTGCCATGTCACACCGACAATATCGAGTCAAACCATATTGTCATGTTATTATTAGACTATGGATACAATCGAAACTATTTGCTTTTAAATTTTTTAAAAGCGGAGAAAGGAAGAAATTATAGCAAGAATTGAAACTCGCATTTTCTTTGAGCCAATGTATAACGAAACAAACTCTCTATTTTTAAGGTATGACTCTATTGGTAGGATTATAATAAATTTTTTTTTGTTGAGGTCACACATTCGAGCAGTGGAAACAACCTCTTACAAAAATAAGTGAGACCCGCACGGGTACCACAAAAGAACATAGTTGGACGGATGAGATCATTTTATTCTTAATCAGAGTTTCCCAACTGAACCCTAAATTAAGACAAAGCTTTCCAGTTAAAGGATCGCAAATTCAAATTAGTGGAGCCAGTAAGCTTCAGATTTTATTTTATTTTTCTTTAAATCGGCTGGTTCAAAGTAATGGTGTCTTTTTAATTATTTATTTTCTCTTTAATTATTAATTAAGGAGATATAATCAAGATTTGAGAGAATCACCTAGAACTAGAAATGGGGTGGCGTAAACGGACAGCCTAAATCTAGGACTACCTTTCGTTTTGTAAAAGACAAACAACAAACAGTTACAAAAACCAACTTTTTTTAATCTGACAAAAATCTCGTTAAGATGAGAAAAAGGATATAGCTTTCTGCTATATTCATATATCAAATATCCAGAAATTAATCTTGATCCATTCTTTACTCATCTTGCCTATTTTATTTTTCCACTAGTGGGTTCAATTGTTTTTCTTCTTTTTGAAACAAAAAGATTGATTTTTTCAATCAACATTCACATTTCTTTGAATCTTCTAGTGGGGTTTCCTTTTTCCAATCTTTTTATTGTATTTTTCACTTTATTTTGCTGTTTGGCTTGTGAGGTTTTTTGAAGAATGAACATTTCTTGATTTTTGTTGAAGAGGAAGAAGGAAAAAAAAAGATGGGCAATTCTTGAATGGATCAATTCTTGTGGATTTATCAGACTCTTCTCTGCTGTAAATTAGGTAAACTCAAACTCCTCAGCTCTGTTTATGCAGTGATCACTTTTATATAAAGATTACATATTCATATTAAGGTCTATTACCTTCTTTTTTTCCTTTTGTTTTTTTGGTGGGATTTTTGGGGGAGGGGATTGCTTGAAAGTAACTGATATACGGAGGATTTGAGACTTGTCAAGCCTGAAAAATGATGTGAATTTGGATCTCAAATTAGTTTTCTTTACATTTTTGGAAATTAATTTTGGATCTGATTTTTATTTTAGTACTTTTCATTTTTATTTTGTATAATGTTAGCCTGAGATAGGAAGGTGTCGTTGCTTCAGCTTACAGAGGACATGAACCACGATAGGAAGGTGAGGAGGTCGAGGATTAGGGTCGAAGGTTGACACGTAGCCGTGAGTTTCTCCTAGGCTTACCAGTAGTACAACTACTATTCTTGTATTTTCTTATTCCTGGTTGTTTATTATTACATGTTGTGTCATTCGCTTCCGTTACCCTATTACATTGGTACTATTGTTTGTTGTTTTATTTTTCACTGTTTCGGGTCTATCAGAAACAACTTCTCTACCATTATAAGGTAGGGGTAAGGTCTGCTTGCACACTACCTTTTCCAGACCCACTTATGGGATTATCTGGATTTGTTGTTATCGTTGTTGTATAATGTTAGCCCGAGATGAATTTAAATGGCGAATATGGTCAATGAGCCGACCCGACTTGTTTGAGACTAAGGCGTAGTTGTTGTTTTTCTTGAATGACACTAAATTGGTTAAAATACCAAATGGATTATGTTTGTGATCATAGATAGAGTTTGAATTGTTGGTTGTAAACTGAATCAGAAGAGTTGATCATTGTCAATCTTTTCTTTTTATGTGTAATCTGCTAAATGATTCTACTGTTATCGCAGAAAACGCGTGGTTAATTTCCTAGTTTGATGGCTGAAAGTTTTGTCATGTGTCAACTTGATGTTACTTCTTTGAAAGAAACGTTATGTGTTCAACAACAGCTTCTACAGAAGCTGTACAATGAGTTAGATGAGGAAAGAGAAGCCTCTTCCAGTGCTGCTAGTGAGGCGCTATCGATGATCTTGCGACTCCAAGGAGAAAAAGCCGCGGTAAAAATGGAAGCGGAGCAGTACAAGAGATTGGCCGAGGAGAAAATGTGTCATGCCGAGGAATCATTAGCTATTTTCGAGGATCTTTTCTATCAAAAGGAGACGGAAATAGCTGCCTTGGAATATCAGGTGCAAGCTTATCGGTATAAGCTATTGAGCATGGGGTGTGCAGATCCCGGGGTTGGTGAATTTAAATATCCTGAGAATTTGTTGCAAAGAAATGAGACTTTAGCTGGAGAAATGAATCTCCAAGCTCTTGGAAGGCGTAACTCCGCCCCTCCTATTCCTTTGAAATTTGCTTGTCCGAAGAAGGGTGGTATGGAAATAGATGATTCAAGTTCAGAAAGAGATTCAAATTCGAAAACAGTGGAGGAACAAGTAGGGCAAGAGATGAATGAGCAGCAGTCTGATACGGAGAAGAAGACTGATATTTCCACGACGGGAAGTATCAATTCTTATTGGCAACAAATTCGAAAATTGGATGAACGAGTGAAAGAGATTACAGGAGTTAGCTATGCGAACTTGAGGAGTGAAACGAGGTCGCCTTCACCACTTTCTCAAAGAAGTATTAAGATAAGCAAATCAGAAAATGAAATGTACCAACCTAAGTTCCAAGGAAGCAAATCAGAAAACGACACGCCTGCTGATTCTGGTTGTTCTCCGAATATTCTTGATGTATTCGAAGTACCTCGAGTGGAAAAGAATACTATCGACATTGGGTTGCCTCCTAAACATGACGGCAAGATGATTTTGCATAATGATGAAAGGCTTGACAGACAAGATTCTGCTCAACAAGAGGCAGTAAAACCGTCGCTTAAAGATGAAACTGATTTGCTAAAGAAGTACTTTGTATCTGCGCAGCGTGAGAACAAGTTACGAAGAGCAAGTGAGGCTGCTGCTATTACCTGTCATTTGGCAATATCTTGCCCTACAACCAGCATATCGGAAACTGGTGAGTTTCATCAGCTCAATCGAACGTCTGAGATAGTTGAAGTTGGAAGAGAAGCGACAAGACAAGAAACAGCTCGAGAAGAAGAGCTGAAGTTGCTATATGATATTAAGGAGCAACTAAATTTGATGCACTCTGAAATCCAAAGTTTGAAAACCGACAAGCTCCCCCCTCCAACTGATGAACCATCCTTACTTCCTCTATCAGAGGTACTGCCCTTTCTTCTAATTACAGTTAGCCGTCTTCAGTTGCATTACTTGTGAAAATGTTAATAACATGCTTACCATTTTGGACAGGCAATGATTCACTTTTGGATCTGACTGATCGATCAAAAACTTCTGAGCGCCAGCATCCAACAGGAGATACTCTTGGCTCTTACATAATCAAGATGCTGCTATTTGTTGACGTTAGTGGTTACTTTGACTTCTGAATAGTGTGTAGTTTTGGTGTTATTATGTGGTTGTGAAGATATTGATTCTGTTGTAAATTGATCACATAGAGTGTACAGAAATGTATAGCCTGCATCGTATCAACTTAGTTGTATCAAGAGAGGAGTGTTTTCACATTTGTTATATCCTGTTTTCGGATTAAGATTTTAATATCAGGTTTTTGTTTTGTATATTTGAAATTCTGATTCGAGTATTGGAATGAAAAAAGGCCCAAGTGGAGCATTATAGTTATTGATGATTCATATTGCCAGTGTCCCTTCAGGGACATCCGATAAAAGTGGAATGATACAGAGAAAATTAGCGTTGCCCCTGCACAACGATTCATATAGCTAACCTTAACTAGTTTGGAGTTTGAGGTGTAATTGTTGTTGTTGTAGTATTTGATGCTCTAATTTGCAACGTTAGTCCAAAAAATACATTACTGGTATAACTACTCTGTCATTTTTATGCCTTATATCCTTCGCATTTCAGCCCCATACTTCTTTGATCTCCGTTTTTCCTGATGAAAGAAAGTGACACAGGCATGGCGAGGTTTTCTCAAACTTTACAGTCATGACTTGATTTACCATTTTTCTTAATTGAAATTGAGTTGCTGCAGGAAAAAAACTTAGATAGTTCAAGTCTTGATGGAATTCAGCATGTCACTGTAGTGAGCTTTGAAGGGAAGCCTTGGAGCAACGATCAAGTTGTCTCCGTGTGACCTATAAGTCACGGGTTCGAGCTGTGGAATCAGCCACTGATGCTTGCATTAAGGTAGGTTGCCTACATCACACTTCCTTGGAATGCGGTCCTTCCCTGGACCTGCTTGAACGCAAGATGCTTTGTGCACCGGGGCTGCTACATACTATTTTGAGCTTTACTTAATGTCTTCAAAACCACAGTATTACTAGGCTCAAGTACTCAGATTCATAGTATTGCTGCTTTATCCATTATTTATTCAGAGTGCAGGTCTCTAAAGGCACTGTCTAACTTGTGATCAAGTGGAAGTTCCAAGGCAGTGGCGAAGCCACCTTTGTCTCCACTCCTTCGTTGGAAAATTATTGTGTAGATAGGTATTTTTTAATATTTTTATATATATATATATATATATACTCAGCAGGGTAAGGCTGCATATAATAGACCCTTGTGGTCCGGCCCTTTCCCGAACCTGCGCATAGTGGGTGCTTATTGCACCGGGCTATCCTTTTATACTAAATGTTGAGAAAGGGAGCTTGGAGCAACGGTAAAGTTGTCTCCGTGTGACCTATGGGTCACGGGTTCGAGCCGCAGAATCAGCCATTAATACTTGCGTCAAGGTAAGCTGCCTACATTACACCTCTTGAGGTGCGATACTTCCCCGAACCTTGCATGAATGCGGGATGCTTTGTGTATCGCACTGCCCTTTTTATACTAAATGTTGAATCCACTTGGCTTCTTTGTGTGTTTACTTTTTTATATTTTGAATCCCCTTGGAAAACATTCTGGCTCCACCACTGTTCCAAAGATGATCGCAACTGCAGAAGATCAACCGATGCTGAAGGCAAGATGAGAACTGAGGGATATGTTGTATAATATTTCAGTTTCATGTACTGTCTTGGCATGCTGATGTTTATATTGCATTTCATGTGTTTATTGTGCTTTTAGTTTTCAACTGCATTGAGTTATAATATTGGAGCTCAACATTCTGGAGCTGCAATTTCTCTGGAATTCCTAATGATAGAGCAGCTGAGGAATTGAAAACACCAATGAGTTCTCTGTAATTTTTAGTTATCATATTGTGATAATCAACTAGTCATTGGATTCAGACAGTAAACAGGGGCGGGTCCAGTGCATTAGTTACGGGTTCCCGTGAACCCAGTAATTTTTGTCTAGATCAGGTGTTTGTATTGAAAAATTAAATGTATAAGAATATTTAGTTTGGAACCCACTCCGTTAATCCAATTATTATTGTATATTAACTTGAGATTTCGGTAGAAACTCATAAACTTAAAATTCTAGATCCACCTTTGAGTAAACTGGTCACTCATCTTTGTTATCGAGTAGCCAAACAAGGGGGAAAATGCCGAGTATGATTGAATATATACAAATTATTAATTTAGAACCCAATAGTTTAAACTGATTTAAACCTAAACTTATAAGATTCAAATCTTGGCTCCGCTGATTTATGATATTATGTTTACCTCCCTTATTTTTATTTTATTGTAATGATTTTTTTTTTAATTATCAAGATTAAAAATTAAAATATGACAAATTATCCTTACTAATTTTAAAATATTATATTTGGTCAATTTTTTTTTTAATCTTCTCCATAAACTCATACATACTCACTTGCAGATGGCATTAATTCCATTTCCAAAAACCAACACCTTCTTTGTTATTTCGGTTATTGTTTATGCAAATTTATTATTGTTAACAAAGTGATAGTGGTTATGTATAGCAAAATATTTATTTTGAGAAAATTAGGAGCTTATAATTGCATATTTGCATCTGAATCAGAACTTAAAATGAGTTTGAACTTGCTTTTACATGACTTTTACTGAATTGTAATGTTTTAGGAGTAATTCATTTCAAATTTCCAAAGATTTCTCGAATTTAAGTTATACAGTTGTTATAAGGAATTTTTATACCATCATGTCATCTTTACCTGTTGTGCATGTAACACGTCTTATTTTCAAGATTACAAATCTCATATTTTAAGGAGGTTTATCTAGAAATATCCTTCAGGCGACTTGATAGCGTACAAAATTCTTTACATTGACGGTGTATATATCTCTCTTGCTTGATCGGTACTACGGAACAACTGACATTTTTTGTTAAGACTTTTGCTTGAGGTGCGCGTAATAAGCCCTGAAATTAGCTGCAGTGAAGGCTACGAGCTCTGTATTGTACTCTTGCTTTGACTAGCAAGCAGTTATTGTTAGCAAAGTGATATATTAAATTGCTAAGGAACCGTTAGCAATGAATATGTTAGTGATTGGGAAAGTGAATATGTTAACAATATATGGTTTGGGTTTGAAAAGATTTAATCTCAACTAGGGTGTCATATGGGCGGGTGGGACTGATTTTGGGCGGGTAAAATAACTTGGGCTGAGATGGTTGAGTCAAATTGGCTAAAATTTGGGCCATAACCCAACCCGCCAAACTCTTACCAAACTTTAATTAATGTGAATTATTTTCGTATGAATTATTTAATAATCAAATAAGACTTTTTTTCTTTTGTTATGGTTATATATAACTTATCAAACAAAACATATATTATATATATATATATATATATATATATATATATATATATATATATATATATATATTTAATTAAAGTTAATCATGGATCAATTTGAGCTATAAATTAGCCAACTTTAAATGGGCTAAAATGAGTTGGGCCAAGATGGACTAAGTTTAACAAATGAGCGAGTCAATGATTAACCCAACCTTGGGCGTGTTGGGCGGGTCAAATAGGTTTGGACTCAAATTGCCACTCCTAATCTCAACATAGAAATATGCAATGTTTGGTTGCTCTTTTTTGTTTGTCTTATAAATAATACATGCATAAAAGTTATGTAGAAAATTGTATATTATTTTATATGGAATAGAATGTGGAATAAGAATATGGGTATAAGTTATACATGAATTAAAATTACTATAATGACAAAACCAACCCTCACATAGTAAGAAATTTTTTATTTTGTTAGAAAGTATTCAAATATTTTAAATTATACGTTATATAATAATTTTTAATGTATCAAACTAAAACATTCTACAACAAAATAATCTACATATTACAATTCTTGCATTACTATCCACAAGATATGTAATCTGCGTTTATAAAATGGCTAAGATCGAAAACCATCGGCAAAAAAGCAACATGTCTGAATGTTGTTAGCTAAGTGAAAATTTCATTAAGCAACAGGTAACAGCTAATTAATCATGATTATCATGTTTATGATAATTTAATACCATATAACTGTCTTCACAGTGAATCATTTATCTTTCAGCCCCAACCAAAAATAAATACATTAATAAATGGAAAAAGTTCACGTAATTATAGTAAAAAAAAATGTAGTTTTGGGGCAAAATTTAGAAGTATGTAACAAAAATATATTGACACACATATTTTATGTCAAACGTCATAATTAGTAGTGCAAGTGGCATGTTTGGCGTCAAATATCAACAATGTCGTTACGCTAGAAATAAGAGAAACAAAGATAAAAAGAAAAAGGAAAGTTGCACATAACAATTCAAGTTATATTCATCTTTAACTTTAAACATATTAAAAGTGAATTCACACTGTCTTTGTGATAAAAAAAATAGATGAATGAATATTGGTAACAGAAAATAAGACGAAGTTACTAATTATGGAATAAATGGTTAGTTAACTTACAAATCATCTGAGAAGTATGTATAGTTTCCTAGTATCCATCCATGTTTGTCAAAGTTAGTTGATTCATTTTTTTCTGTTTGGTTATTATGATTTATCAAAAAATTTCAGTTGTAGATTTAAACCAAACAACATGGAGAAATGACTTTTGACGGGACAAACTTACATATTTTTCTAGCTTTTTATCATTATTGATATTTGGTGTTGCTTTTATTTTAATTTGAGCTTTTGAATTTATTGCGTGTTTGAGTGACATAAGCTACATTCATAAAGATATGCATTCTTCAAAGAATGACTTCGAGCTCTATCATACGTAGCTTCTTTTGCTTTTGCTTGTTCAAGCAAAAGTTGTTGCTTCTTTTCCTCATCATTCCTTTCCCTTTTCCTGATTTGGAATAGTTTGTCTCTCTGTTTTCCTTGGCTTTAGTGAAAATAATGTAGGAAAATTACGCGACAAATCAAATATATAGATTGTATTTACTATTTGTAGCTATATTTGAATTTTATATCAAATCTATGAAATAAGAAAGTAATTATTTTGAACTGAAACAAGAGACATTTGGTTAGATCGCTTGCTTAGTTAGCAGATGTCTTGAGTTCGGCTCTCTACAAGAGCATTTTATTTTTCTGCATTTTTGTATTTTGCCTTGGCTGCATTTATTGTGTAATCGATACGAATACAGTCGATACAAGTTGCATCCTTTGTATACACCTTTGTATTTTGTCTTAATTATAGTTGATACATGTTGTATTTATTCGCGCAATTTATTTCAGCGAAACACAATTGCGCGAACGAATACAGTTGAATACAATTGCGCGAATGAATACAGTTGACACAGATTGTATTCGTTGCACGTTTGAATACAAGTGATACAAGCTAG